TAATTTAGGTAAGTTGCTTGGAGCAATGTCTGACAGGTAGTAGGCCCTTGATAAATGGTGATTTTTAGCAGTTAACTTTCCAGACAAAATAGAAATAGGTGGTTTTTCACAAGTTTTAATGAAAAAGAATTCCATTTTATTTAAAAAACATTAGTAGATAAAATATTCTAGAACTCTTCACCTATTTTAATGAATCAAGGATATACCAAATGCAATTTAAAAAAAATTATCCCAAAGGACTAGTAAGCTTGATTTATGTATTTTTTTTTTTTTTTACCAGTCACTTTTATTTCATAAGCCCGACATTTCCATTAAAACGTTATTAAGTAAAAACAGGATCTTACAGTATTTGTGATGGCTTGGATCTCAATGTGATAATTGGAATTATCTCCAGCAAAGATACCATTTCTCATTGTTTTATTTCCTCTTACATATCAGCTTTATCTTTAGTGCCTTCTTCCAGCTCAGTAAAACCACCTCCCTCTGAATTCGTGGTTGAGTTCATGAAAATAATATCTGTGGCTTTGAAGACTCTTTTCATCATAAGGTTATAACTGGGATTCAGAAAGGATGGGAAATGGTAGTCATCCACTAAATATAGCAACCCTTGAAAGAAATGTGAAAGGCTATAGCTAGAAGGAAAAACAGACTCATTCTGCAAGGCTCTGGAGGCAGGATGGGAGGCAGGAGTTGGATCCTGGAGAATGACATCCGCTGGTTACCACTGGGACAGGCTTTCTAGTCTGAGGTGTCCCGGAGGTGGTGGGGTTCCCATCACCTGGCAATCCCAGCTAAGGTCATGACCCTGGATGATGTCCTGACCAAATGACTGGCTGGTGTTAACATCCTTATCTATCTGGGTTTCAATTTCTTCTCTAAAGTCATTTCAAAAATATTCTGGAACTAGATAGTGGTAACAGTTACACACAATGTGAACTGCATGAAATACCACTGAATTGTGCACTTTAAAATGGTTATAATGGTGAGCTTTATGTTTGTTATTAGACTATGATAAAATAATAAATGGTATCATTGGACAGAATGATCTCCAAAGCCACTTCTAGCTGTAAGATTTTATGCTTCTGAGAAGGAGTACATTGCTCAAGGGACTGATCACTGACTCTATTTAGTCAAATGACAGGCCATGTGACACTAAATCTTTAACTGACGGAGAATGGTTAATTAATACAGAATACTTCATGTCATGAGAAATTACACTCATGAAAACACTTAATGCCATGGGAAGATACTTACAATGTAAGGTATAAAAAGAAGGATTTGGAATGCATGTAATGTAATCCTAACTTTATAAATATAGATAAGAAATCAAAATGTTAATAGTATTGATCTCAGATTATAGAATTACAAATGATTTTGATTCCTTTATACATTTCTGAAAATGTCTACAAAGAGCATGATGTACTAATATAATCTTTAAATAACTCTTTAAAATAAAAAATCAACAATTCCACATAGGATTTGTAACACGTAATGTGAACCATGATGTGTATTTGAATAATGGGGTGGTGGGTTGGCCACAGTGGCTCACGCCTATAATCCCAGGATATTAGAAGGCCAGCCAAGGTAGGAGGATCACTTGAGGCCAGGAGTTCAAGACTAGCCTGGTCAATGTAGCAAGACCTTATCTCTACAGACAAATTTAAAAATTAGCCAGGCTGGCCAGGCATGGTGGCTTATGCCTGTAATCTCAGCACTTTGGGAGGCCAAGGAGGGCAGGTCACCTGAGGTGAGGAGTTCGAGACCAGCCTGGCCAACATGGCAAAATCCTGTCTCTACTAAAAATACAAAAACTAGCCAGGAGTGGTGGCATGCACCTATAATCCCAGCTACTTGGTAGGCTGAGACAAGAGAATCACTTGAACCCAGGAGGTGGAGGTTGCAGTGGCAGTGAGCCAGGATCTCGCCACTACACTCCAGCCTGGGTGACAGAGCAAGACTCCATCTCAGGAAAAAATTAACCAGGCTAATGGTGGTGCACACCTATAGTTCTAGCTATTCAGGAAGCTGAGGCTACAGTGAGCTGTGATCGTACCACTGCACTCCAGCCTGGGTGACAGAGTGAGCCCCTATCTCTAAAAAATAAAAATAAAAGAAGAAGAAGGGCTGGGCATGGTGGCTCAGTGGCTCATGCCTGTAATCCCAGCACTTTGGGAGGCCAAGCTGGGTGGCTGGCTTGAGGTCAGGAGTTCAAGACCAGCCTGACCCACATGGTGAAACCCTGTCTCTACTAAAAATTTAAAAAATGAACCAGGCATGCTGGTGCATGTTTGTAATCCCAGCTACTCAGGAGGCTGAGGCAGGAGAATGGCTTGAAGCCAGAAGAAGAAGGAGAAGAAGGAGGAAGAGGAAGGAGGAGAAAAATTAGGGTAGCAAAATAGAAAGAGCAGTGGATTATAAGAGCTGACTTCTAATTCCAGTTCAGCTAGATGATACAGGTGCAACAGCTTGCCAAGCCTCAGTTTCTTCATCTGGAACAGGGGCGTAGTCATAACAACCTCCTGCACGAGCGGAGTGAACAGCAAATGCCCCCCTAACTGTGGGACGGTTCTGCTGATGGAGGAGTCCTCTGAGCTATTTTGATTGTTATTGAGTGCATTCCAACTGTACATTTCCAAATCTTTCCTTGAATAAAAACTTACTGAGTGCTTATAAAGTCATTGATTGCCACTTACCCAGTAATTTAAGGGCTAATTTCCGGTAAGAGTGTCGCCTTTTTTCTCATCTTTCTTCCTATGACCTTAATGGGAAAACATTTCATTTCATCTGAAAAGCAACCACCTGATATTTACTGTCTTAAGTTCAAGGTGATGATGACAAAATCATTTTAGCTAAAGGAAAATTGCAGCCCTTTGGGCACATTTGCCTCTCCCAAGGAGCAGGACTCTCCTCTTTGTAGGAGGGAGTATTTCTTTCCTTAAAACCCTCCACTCTGTTGAAGTTGCAAAGAGATTCCCCCTCATGCTTCTCTGCTTCTGCCCTCTGCCTGTCCTTGCTTTGAGACCTGCATCAAGACTCACTAAGGAGGAACCGGGAAGAGGCCTTCTGGGACTTTTTATTCACGCAAGGGAGTTTTTCCCAGAGGCTGGCTCCTTGGACTGGGATGAAGAGAGGACCCATTCAGGCAGGGCTGTCATGCGTGTTGCTTTGCTATTGAATTTAAAAGAGCTTACAGATTACCACACATGGTAACCTTGATATTTTAAGGCTTATGTTGCAAACTTTTTTAATTCAACAGATTCAATGAAACTTTCCCAAACACCAAGTGTGTGCCAGGTCCTATAGAAATAGGAGTTCAATTTCTATGTGAAATAGAGGTAGACCGTGCCTTCAGTGCGCTCACACAATGGTGAGAAAGACTGGCATTTAAACCAGTGCAGTGCAGGCATGACAAAGCAAACAAGGAAGCAGGTCCAAAGAACGGAGTAAGGCATGAGAGACAGGGACCAGTGTGGTCAAGAAGACATCTCAGCTGGTTCTGAAAGTGGAGCAGAAGTGTGCCAGGTGGCCAGGGCCAGAGGAAAGCAGGCACAGAGACACCCAGATGGCCCAACCTGGGCACTGATGATGTGCTTGCTTGGAAATGAGAGCACTGGGCATGAGGCCATTTAATAAAAAGTAGAGAACAGGCCTTGGTACCATTAACAGCACCACGTCTCAGTACCATGAGATGTCGTTCTAATTTTCTTGGATCAGTTAGTCCACCAGGCAGCATTTACTGACCATGTATAACATGCTCAAGGTTTTGTCTCAGGAATGAACACAACAGGTGGGAGAGGGTTACACCTGGCCCCAGATCCTGACAGGATAGGACCCAGGAGTGAGAACTGAGTTGCAATTGCAGAGAGGGCCTTTGGGTCTGGAAGGGAGCTGGGTGTCCAGGGGGCATGGAGTCTCTGGTTCCAAGGCAGGCCAACGAGTGGCAGGTTGGCAGGAGCAGCACACAAGGCTTGGGCTGGAACAGTGCACCTGGCGAGGGCAATGATTGGAAATGAGGAGGCCCGAGAAGAAGTCGGGAAGGGCCTCCAGTGCCAGAGTGAGCAGTTCAGACTCAGAAGTCCTCAGGGGTTTTAGCAAGTAAGTGACTCAGCCAGGTTGGCCTAAAAAGAGGTGACTCAGGTGCCAGTTCGGAGGATGGATCTATGGATGGGTAAAGCCAGAGGCAGGAGGGCCTTTGCTGCAGTCCAGGTGGGGGCAGAGCAGGGGTTGGCTCCAGGGCTAAGGAAGCAAAACTAACTTGCAGGCGGAGGCAGAGGAGGAGTCGGCATTTATTCTACACTTTCCTGTTGGGTGACTGGCGGATGGTTGTGACATTCAAGGAGATGGGGGACATAGATTTGGGGCAAGGGGGAATAATACATGGGTTTAAGGTGAGAAGAACATTCTGAGCTAGAGGTGGATATTTAAGAGTTATTAGCTGATAATTTTCTTGAATATCAAAGTAATTTCTGAATAAAATATCCAGACTAAGGAATCACAACACTATAATCATTTTTTGTATGAATTCCAAATTTTAAAAAGAACAGTAAAGCCAGAAACATCATTGTTCCTATTCCTAGAATTCGGGAGCTGAGGCGTCTTTGCAAATTGCTCGTTGAACCGTGCTCTGGCTTCTTGCCAGCCCTCAATGAGATTTTTATATTTCTTAATTATTCAATTACTACCCATAAGTAAGAGTTTGAAATCAAAGCCAGACTGCTACATAATAGAGTATTCTCTTGAATCGTGAATACAGTAAAGGAAGGTTTTCATGCTGGGAAACCCGGATGGGTAAAAGGAGGAAGCACACGTTTCCAGCCCTGGCTCTGCCTTGACTTCATGTCCTGGCTTTGCTGTGTGCTAGCTGTGTGAGCTTGGGCAGGTCACTCCTCTGTGGTCAGTCTTGCCTCCTGTAAAATAAAAATATTGGTAATGCTGCCTCCCGAGGAGGTGGTAAATCTGCAAGGGAAAGTGCTACATCATTCATTCCTTGTGTGTTTCAGGTCTCAGCAGCTTGAAAAACCATTCGCTGGCCAGGAAGATGCTTTGGACGGTGAGCTGACCAGTGCTCCAGATAGCAACGCCAACCCCGAAGCCCACCTGCCCTCCATTTGCCTCAAGCAGGTGTTCCCCAAGTACGCAAAGCAGTTCAACTACCTGCGCCTGGTGGACAGAATGGCAAATTTGTTTATCCGGTTCCTGGGAATCAAGGGGACAATGAAGTTGGGACCAACAGGCTTTCGTACCTTTATAAGGTCAGTGAGAACACCCCCTCTGGCTTGGGCTTTGGGCAGGGTGGAGTCCAATCTCACATCTGGCTGGTTGGCTCTCCTTGACTGCGCTTGGGAGAGTCTGTGGTGCTGGGTCAGTACCCCATTGGAGCTTGGATCAGCCTAGTGGCTGGCACACGGTAGACTCTCATTTGTTGAGTGAATTAATGAATATGATGGATGTGACAGCATTCACAACCTTATGTTCATGATTAAAAAGCAATTCTGTGCCCACCTTGAGCTGAGTCCAGAAAACGCATATTAATAATCACCCCTTGGAGTCAAGCAGACCTCGTGCCTCTTAACCAGGCTTCTCCCAGTGGTGCACGGCTGTGTGCTTGGCGTTCATGAAGCCACAACAGAGAAGCAAAGCACATCTTTCCAAAGTGTCAGTTTCAGGAGGGAAAAGTTAAATAATTCAGCTGATAAATATTTTAATACATTTTTTCTAATATAAAAATAACATGGCTATGTTATAGAGTATAATGCAAAATTTGCATGAAGTTTAAAGATAAAACATGAGATAAAGAAATCATATCTTTGCTGCAGCCTGCAAAGTAAGCAATTGCCACTTGTTTTCCTGAGATTACACATTAATTTCCCTCTGCCCTGTGGAGCACTTTGGGGCAATACAGCAGCATTTACTAGCTTCAAGGGAAAGAAACCCTAGGGCACCCCTAAACCTCAATGACTTCATCCTGACAAAAGAGGATGAAGCTGTCTGTGGCCTACAATAGTGTGTGTAAGATTAGTTAAGATTCCATAGAACCATCTAGCATGTGGTAACTGATCAATAAATGTCAGTTTCTTCCTGCAAGGTTAAAAGAATTTCATGAAATTTTATGTATATTTATATAGATATGTATGAGCTTACACAGAGTCTTGATCAAAGAAGCGTCCCGCTAAGTATGTATTAAACTGATAACCCTGGATCCCTTTAACAAACAGAATCGGCTATGCTAGGGAGTTGCTCCTTAGCAATTAACTGTAGCCTGTACACCCCGAGGAGCATGTCTGCTAGCACTCAATGTTGCTGTTGTTTTTCTCATCACTGATGTTAATATTTTTGTCTTGCACCTCAAAGTCACACTTTCTACAGTTTTATTCACTAATATAATTAGAAGTCTTGAGTGGGAAACCACTTTTGTCAAGTTTGTTTCCAAAGAAATTTTATAAATTCTAACTCTAGCCCTCTGCTATTCCTGATAGGATGGTAAACAGAAGTATTGGCAGGAATTTTGCCGTTTCGGTACACCTGAAGTAGTAGTTTTGCATGCTGACTTTGAGAAGGGATTTGTGTTAGTTTCAGGAGGTAGGGCTGGGAGAGGGGAGAGAAGCCCAGTGGAGAGAGGACAGGCTTTTGAGATCAAACAGGCCTGGCTTCAGAGCCAAGTATCACACGTTACTTAATAGCTGTGTGGCTTTGGGCAAATTCCTTATCTTCTCTGCACTCAGTTGTCTCATCTGCAAAATGGGAACAATTGTTCCTGCCTTACAGGGTTGTTATGAGGTTGGGATAATTTATCATAAAGCAGCTGGCCTGATGCTTAGTTCATGGGAGCTGCTTGTTTAGTCGGAGTCTTGTGCTTATTATTTCCATCAGGCAGTGGGAAGTTTCGAAAAAGTCAATAGGCACATGTTATTATTTGCGCTGAGAAGACTGCCTGACATGATACCCTCTGACTCACTTAGGAATTACATTTGGCTTTCAGAAATAGGTAACCAGCTACAAATAGCTTAAATAGTAATTTTCTTTCATACAACAGGAGCTTTTGCAGTGGGGGTTCTGGAGCTGGTGAGTGACTCCACAGCCATTCAGCTTGATCGCAGTCATTGAGTCACAGTATGATCCGTGTTCCACTTTCTGTCTTTCTGCTCATCCATCCTAAATGTGTACTTCCACTTCAGGGTTGTCTTATAGTCACAAGAGGGCTGCTCAAAGCCCAACCATCATGGTTGATTTCCAGGCAGAAAGGGGAAGAAGAGGAGGAAGAAAACAGGCCTCCACAGATGAATTCGATCCCTTTAAAAGGCTTTTCTGGAAGCTGTATTCGGTGACTTCCCCTTCCATCTTACTGGCTGCCAACATCTGCATGGGAAGCTGGGAAACAGAATTGTTATAACTATGTGTAGTGCTGTCCCATTATAGTGTAAAAGAGAAGTAAGGTAACAGATAGGTAGGCGGGCTCTGCCCCTTTGTGATTCCTGGACCTTGTAACATGAGGAAATAGCTTAGTGACAGAGGCCTCAGGTCATGAGGGCACTTAGGGCACTGTGGAAGTATTTTGGGACCCTGGAGAATGATGAGATTGAGCAAGCTGGGGTGCTTCTCTCAGCATAAGGGCACAGACCTTCCGAGCAAAGGCAGAAGCTTTCTTGGCCCTCCCCAGCCTCTGTGCCATCACACGGAAGACTCAATTCAAGATCACAGAGCATGAGGGCTTGGCTTCATGGGGATGACATCTTGGGAGTTGCAGGGAACCCTGGTCCTGTGAGATCTGTTCTATCTCAACCTTACGTTATAAAGGATTATGTCTGGTTTGACCTAACAACTGTTCCTGAGCACCTGGTAGCCATGGGACATTCGAAGGCAAATAAAGGGACCCTGCCTGCCCTCAAAGGGCTGCCAGTCTAACAGACAGCATGCAATGAACACACAATTAAATGCAATGTTTTGGCAGAGTCACAGGGCGGTTGCTCATGGACTCCCCAGCGGGGCAGCATTTGGTATGCTACAAGTACAGAATGCAAGAGGTTTTGCCTCCCTGGTGGAATCAAGGCAGGCCCCCGAGAGGAGGCAGGGTTTGGACTGGTAGAAGCAGGATTTTTCCAGGCAGCAGGGAGAGCCTGAGAATGGATGGCACGTATAGCCCAAATTTAGAAGTTAGAAAGGTTTATCATCTAGGTTAAATTGCTAGTAGAGATGGAAATGCTTCCTTTTTACTCCTAATAAAGTCCTACCCGAACTCAAGAGAGAAGGAGAGATTTGAAAAATTACTTATGGTAAGAATCACCATCTCACTTGCCTACAGGTTAGGCAGGAAGCATCAGCTATCACAGAGGGCTGGGCAGAAAAGGTCAGGGAGGGAGGCAGGCTGTGGCAAGCCGGAGAGCACATCCCCATCTAAAGGAAGGCGTTGCTGGGCTCACATCACCAGAGCTTTTGATTTTTCCATCCTAAATATCTATGTAAGACCTCAATACATATCTATAAATGTTGGCAATTTGAAAAATAATTTTAAACACTATGGATTCAATGAAAGCATGACTGCCCATCAACACCATTGGTGCGTGACCTCTGGTACAAGAGGAGGTACCTATTAAGAGGACTGCTATGACTCTTGAAAAGAAAGAAAGAATTGACAATGGTTCTAGCCAAGAAGATTCCTAACATGCTCTCAGACTGGAACCGGGCGAGGTCAAAAATATTGCCATACATCTGTCTCCGTGTGATAGGCTTTATGATTTTCCACCCTTTTGCTCTCTATAATTAAGGGCATTTGCATGAAAACCTGGGTTTTGTGACCTTAGAGACTATTAAGTTCCTGCAGCCATCATTCCCAATCAGTGAGTGGCCAAGCTCAATTAGGGAGCCATGGTGACTGACCATGACACTGAGACCCACGTCTTCAAGTGGGGACCAGGCAGCCAGGGCTCAGACTGAGCCCTCTCCCTGCTCCCTCCCCTCCCAACAAATGCATGTAGTAATTAAAAAGGCAAAAAGAAATGGAGAAAGCATTACACAATCCTTAATAGATTGTTTTTTTTTTTTTTTTGAAATGGATGAAGGGTATGCTGAAGCTCTAGAGATGGGACATGACTTGCCCAAGGTCACACAGCCGGAATTCACGTCTAGTCCTTCCTTGGAAGACAGAGTAGTGGGTTTGAGAGCTGTAGGGAGGTGGAGATGGAGTCTCACTCTATTGCCCAGGCTGGAGTGCAGTAGTGTGATCTTGGCTCACTGCAATCTTTGCCTCCAAGGTTTAAGCAATTCTCCTGCCTCGGCCTCCTGAGTAGCTGGGACTACAGGCGTGCACCAGGATGTCTGGCTAATTTTTGTATTTTTAGTAGAGATGGGGTTTCCCCATATTGTTCAGGCTGATCTTGAACTCCTGACCTCAGGTGATCCACCACCTCAGCCTCCCAAAGCGCTGGAATTACAGGCGTAAACCACTGTGCCCAGGCAGATTTTTCTTTTTCAAATGTGCCAAAAAATCCTAACAGCAACCTAATCATAAAAGATGATATTCTCCGCCTTTAGATTTCTCTGAGTATGTTCAGTCTTGCCAGCTAAATTTAATAGCACACACTTTCTCTTGGTAACAACACTTCTCTCTCTTCCTTCTACTTTGGTTTAAAATTTTGCTTCATTATGAATTAATAATATTTATGCCATATGTTAAATCGAACCAAGTGCCCTTCTCAGGAGCACTTTGAAAAAGACATATTGGCTGGCGAGATATACACTCCTCAGTGCTCCCACGCAAATGGCAGAAGCTGAACTTGCTTTTCATCTGTTCTACCCACTCTCTCTCTCCAAGTTCCTTGAAAAGAACTAGAGGGAAGAAAATAATAAACACTCCAATCGAATTTATTTCCAGTGTCCATCTCTTATAATGTGCTGCATAGATCAGCAGTTTTCGGAGTGAATTATGCTAATGCCAGTCTGGCCATCTTCTATTTTTCCTTTTCACCAAGAAATGAGAAATAATGAACTGTTCTTCTCTCGTCTAGACTTAACTCTCCCTCACCAGCTTTTCGTGTCACTTCCTCAGGAGGCACATAATAGTAGCGCATATTACCATGAATTAAGTGCCCCTTTTCTTTATTTTTTAACATTTTATTTTATAATAATTGCTTGGGTGTGAAGCCATCTTTTTCCCCGAGAACTAGACATGATCTGATTGACTCTTTAGCTTGACAGCTTTCTTGGAGGGAGATGCATTTTTGTCATTCTCCTTCCACTGGATTTCTGATTGGCGGGG